GGGGGAAAATTCGACTCCGGTTTTAGCATAACCTGGCAAGCACTAGAAACTACGGGCCCAGTGAGGAAGTTCGAGCACCGGAGTGGAGGCACATGACGACACTCCGCAGGAGGGAACTCCTGTGAGGTATAGCTCGCTGCTAACTCGACTGTGGTCAGAAACCTCTAAAGTCGGAGTAATAGGAGTCGGCATCGACCACTTCAAGGCTTCAAATCATAAGCAATTTAGACAGCTCCCTCATACGTGACTTGCACAAATAGACGCCGTCCATGCCATTCCGATGTCAGACTGAGTGAGAGCTCACAAAACAAAAGTGACGCCTAGCCGGTGTGACCGGAGGTACAGGAGGTCAGTGTGTTCGTTTTTTTTTTAGTTTTCAGAGCAACTGCCCAGCGATTTTGGAGGTGGTTAACGTTGTCGGCACGCTGTTCCTGCCGACTGAATACCAAGACGGAAGTTCTGCTTTGTCATTGATCGCTCATAATATTCATTGCATATGATATTTTATGTACCAAACAGTTGAAAGGATACGTTAGTTCTACACTAGCGATAGCGAAATAATGGCAGAAATTCCTAGAAACCACGAGCAGGCCACAGGGTTGTTCACCCTAAAAAGAAAACTGACTTTTTATTTTTCTTTTTTTCTTTCTTTTGAGAGACGGTGTTTTCAGAGTCTTAAATTGTGTGACGTGTGTAGCCTGTTCTGTTGAAATATGTTGCGAATAAATGTGGAGTACATGTGCCTAGGAGTTTAAATATACTATATGTTGCTACGAAGTTACGACCTATCAAGACAGTCGGACACATATTTGAATTCTTGTAACTGTGAGTTGCCCCACGATTGCTGTTGTCTCGCCGCTCATTGTTTGGTATCGGGCTTACTTGATAGCATTTATTAGGAAACAAATGTCATAGATTTCAGTAAAACAAACTCTTTAGAGGAAAGACAGTTTAAAGTTACACTACACATCATTCCTGGCACCCAGCAACATTCTGACATTCATTTTTCAGCTTCTTTTACCGAACCAAAAATGACCGGCTTTGAGGAACGCTTGTCCGGTAACAGAATTATAAAAAAACTAAATTGGTTAAACGAAAAATCGAAACGAAACGGATTTCATAAATATAACGGTGACCGTATCCGTAAGCGAACCGTCATTTTTTGGGGGGTGAGTCCCTCGTACAAAGTGAGCTGGTGAAAAAAAGGCCGGAGAGCCTTGCCACATTCTACGTACCGTCCCGACCAAGTCCCATGCCATGTTCTCCTTTGCAACCGTATCAAACAACACCTTCCTGAACAGCGTTTCCGATCATCCGAGCAAGTCATCACCGCATTGACGCAGATCCTCCGGGATCCTGGTGTTTTCAGCGGTTGGGTCGACGCTGATAGAGGTACACCGTGGCCGAGGGACATTACTCCAAGATTTAATATGCGCAATCTCACATAAATACAGTCTATGTATTGACATTCTGCTGTGTCCTCGAACTTTCGGACTGTATAGGTAGCAACTCAGCGGGCAAGCTGGTAAGATGCTACAACTTTTTTTTTCTTTTTTTTTTTGCTTTGCAGAAAAGGGTCATCCCTTAGCACCATTTTCAAATAAAACTTTAAGCTTGTGAGTGACACTGTTGCGCCTATGTGTGCTGGCAATACCGGGTCCTTTAAGTAAGCCTTGACCAAGTTCCCCCATTTCTGGCGGAGGTTTCGCGCTGTAGTCGGCAGAGAAATTCACCCCGAGCTACCATGCTTCCCTACTATCCATCAAGATTTAAGACAGGCTAAAGGCAAGAGCATAGAGAAAACATTAGATGTGGGTCAAAGTGTATCCCGTGGTCTACCAAGGGAGGCGTTTCTCTTTTCTTCCGGGCTTGGAACTTGGAGATAAAAAAAGAAAAAAGAGAGATGATGTTATCTCTCAAACCATCGTGCTCCGGGTCATTAACTTGGGCGTAACTATAGAGGGAACGATTACCTATTATCGCAAGAGATTTTTTAGACGCACCGATGGGGGATAAAGAAAAGAGGGTAGATACCCTCAAACATCGTTATTTGTTTTACTCAAGATTGGGGGGGGGGGGGGGGGGCGCGCGAGGAGGGGGGGAGGTGTTTTTGCCCCCTTCAACGCGTCGCGTGGCGGCTGCATTGTATAGATGGGAAACTGAAATACACGATGAAAAGTCTTGTTTCCCTTAAATGAGCTGGATGGAACATTAGGCAGAGCGCATCGAACGTATAGAATTCGGCGGCCGGTGGTTTCATCGACTATTTCGGCAGGCACAAATATCGCAATTGGCTGCACACGTCAAATGAAGGGATTGTTTTCCCATTAATATAATTCATCTGGTGTGTGGCTAGAGTGTCTTTACGTGGAGTAATAGTACGAAAGGGCAGTGCAACTATCGGCCCTTGTTGTAGTACTTTCCTAATCAAACATATTTTCGATAAACCCCCCCAAAATTACTTTCTACTCTTTTTTTTTTTTTTTTGCTTGCACGTCATGAACAATGCAGGATGTCCTGCATAGTTTAGAACTATACATAACGTTGATAGATCTGGCGTAGGACACGCCAGATTGAAGTGTCGTAACTTCATCATACTTCCCGGTCACCGAGTGTCGTGTTAGTATAGTGGAGGAACCGCCTTGTCCTGTCTTGCGATTGGCTCGGTCTTCGTTTTGCGTACTTGGGAGTGCAATGAAGAGACAGAAGTAACATAAAACGGCTACAGATTCAAACCATAGTGACACTTGTCCCTTGGACACGGAAGTAGAGTGAATATCACCATGACCCGAACCTCGATACTGCACTGATTTACTCGCAGTCAAACAAAACACAGAGGTAGTCGAAGCCGTCAGGAAGTACTTGAAGAGTTGCTCCTGCAAGCCTCAGAGCCTTAGCTAAACTTAGCTGCTACAGCAAGCGCCCTGATAAAGCTACGTTTTCTCAGCGAAGTGTCGGCTGTCATTCTAATGATTCCAAAAAGCTTAATTTCAAGTCCAGCATTGTGCGAAGCCAATTTATTAAATGTATATTTTTCACTATACTTCTAGTATTATAAGCTCAAAAATGTATTTATTATTGAATCAATTATTAATCGTAACCTATTACGCGTATATCATGACCTCTTTCATCATCTCCCTGTTTCTGTGCCCATAAACAGTACGTTGCCTGTAATGTGGAGCGACGTGACAGATTGTAAAGTGCTGAAATAAATAAAATGCACACACATACTGTATGTACTGTATAAAACTTCAGAAGCAACCAAAGGCCAAAATGCACGCCTAAAAGAGGATTAGCATGTGACCTAACTGCTTCTTAAGGTAGCATAATTGTCAAAAATATCGAAGTTCGCTCGCCAGAAATTATTGACGCGTGCCCCGAAAATAAATTAGTGTTGTTTTCAACGCGAAAATGGACTATACGCATCGGCGAACGTTCGGTCTTAGCCCAAATTCGAGCGCTAGCGGTCCGAGCTAGCTGCCAGCGAGTTTCAGAACTAACCGTCATCTTATTCAAAGTTTACAGGATTTTCTAAAATTCGTTAAAGTCATTTAATACTGCTTGCGTGTAAGAATGCGAAAGCATTCCTGCACGCAGGGCATTCCTAGAAGCAGCGCGCCACGTCTTCCTTTTCCACACGGCGCTACGGCGCTGACATCAAGGTCCCTCAGTGCGCAGGCGCGGCGACCGCGCCGGCTCATGGCTTCCCAGACGATGCATCCGCGTTGCTGTGCTTTTCTTCGTGTTCTATTTCTGAGGCGCGTCCGCATCTCATATAACGCGTCGCAGCCAATGGGAAATGATTGCTCGTTTCGCTGCTACAGACAACGCCGGCTTCGCTCCATAAAACAAGTATTGCCTTCGCAAAAAAAAAAAAAAGGTAAAATAGCAGCCGACAAAGGCCACGAATACATAGTGCTGAATGGCGTTAATGCACAGGGTGCACCAAAAAAAAAAAAAAAAAACACACACACACACATATTTTTTTTTATTGCGAAAATAAACTAGGCGTAGCCGAACGCTTATTCTTCGCCCAAAGGTAGCGCTAGAGGTCACAACCAGATGCCAAAGTTTCAGCCCGAACCGTTACCTTATTCAAAAGTTATAAGCGATTTTCTGAAAATTTCAATGGGAAAATTGCGGCCGACGGAGTTTTCGAATACATGGGACTCTATGGGCATCAGAAACCGAAAACGGGCAAAAATGGGCTTCATTTCCCCGTTGAAATATTCAGAAAATCACTTAAAACTTTTGAATAAGGTATCGGATCGGGGCAGAAACATTGGCATCTGGTTGTGACCTCTAGCGCTACCTTTGGGCGGAGAATGAGCGGTCGGCGATGCCTAGTTTATTTTTGCGGTAAAAAAGAATGTGTATTTTTTTTTTTTTTTTTCTGTGGCGTTTTGTATATCGGGAACGGGCTTCATTTTTCCATTGAACTTTGAGGAAATCACCGATAACTTTTGAATAACATAATGGCTAGTTCTCAAACTTGGTCATCTGGTTCGGAAGTTAGCGCTACTGAGACTGCTTTAAGCAAAACGTAGTTTATTTACGAAATACAAAAAAAAAAAAAAAAAAAAAACTATTTTTGGTTTTGCTTGTTTTTTTAGTGTGTTTTTTATTTTATTTTATTTTATTTATTTTTTTATGGAAAAAGGGGGGGGGGGGGGACGTTGCACTGATTGTGAGGGTGCAAAGTAAAAACACTCATATTCAAAGGAGCAACTAGTACATTAATATTCAGTACGCACACAAGCTCAACCACGGTAATCGATCGATTATTAACAATATATTTTCGTCAACGTAATTTGCTCAGTCCCTACGAGGAACCCGAGCAGAGACCGCGACGGCCAAGGCAGCATCGAAGCAGAACTGGAAAGTCCCGAAGTGCGCCTGGGGAGGAGCCTCCGAGAGGACGTCCGCCGAGCGCCCGGAGGCCCCCGTTGCCGTTGGGGCGCCTTCCCCGAGATGGCGCGGCGAGCGTCCCAGCGGGCGTCGTCCGACGGGGTCCCGTGGGCGCAGGGGGGCAGCCTGGGGCACCAGGGGCGCGCATCCGGAGAGGGAGAGGGACCGCGCGCATGGAGCCGACGGCGGCAGTCGAGATCGGACGCCGCCGGTGAACGTGCACGTCCGCCCAGCGCTCCTCTGCCTGACGCCGCTCGTGCCACGCGGACTCGCCGAACGCCGCTCCCGGCGCCCCTGCTCGGATAAAGAGTGCCGCCCTCGGGACCCCAGCGGAGCCCCCCGTCGGCCAAGCCCCCGGCGAACCTCGGGCCGCACGTCGGCCTTCAGTGCCAGAGGCTGCGCGGGCCCCCGCGTGTGGACCGGCGGGTGCGGGCCTCGGCCCCAAGACCTCTACGGTGGAGCCCGCGCTCTGCTTCGGCCCCGCAGCCCCGTGGACATTCGCGGACCGAGCGGCCGTGCGTGAACCGCTGAGCGTGCAAGTGTCGGCGGCCGAGCCGCGCTGGACTCCCTGGGAGGCGGTGTTGTTTCCCCGACGGCCGGACCTCCCGTCATGCCGCGACGCTGCTACTGAGCGTGCGGCGGCTCCACGGGCGCGCCACCAAAGCGGGACCACGGCGCGCTCGGAGCGGCGCAGACCCACCGGGTCCCCCAGCGCCACGGCGACCGGCGGCAGCATCGAGCCGGGCGAGACGCTCGATCTGTCCCCCGCGTCCAGCGTGGTCCAGGGAATCGGCGGACGCAAGCGGGACGTCAACGGCGGCGCTGCCATGGCCGTGGCACGCTCGTCGGCCGCGCACCCGCCGCTGTCGCCCGCCGCCAGCCCCGTGTACGCGGGTCGCTTCTCCATCGCCAGGTGAGGTCCAGCGTCGTCGGGCCCCCGGTCGGGTCGTGGCGGCGGAGTGCCGGCGAAACAAGGAGGGAGTAACACGCACGCTTTACTCCCCTTTTGGCTCCCGGACCCCGTGCTCGGCTTCCGGGCCTGGTCACGTGGGGTGTCACAGCCCGCTCGAACGTTTCCACGCCCGGAACCGACCCGAGCTGCCACACGCCCCACGGGGGACGTGGGATTAGAACACCACAGATCGTTGATCGTGCGTTAAGGGCAGTGTCGATACCCACTGGCCCTCCAAGAGGTCTGAAATAGTTACTCTGCCTCGCGGCTCTCTGTGAAACACGGGCCGCGTTTCTACGAGGCGCAGTTTTGATCGGTGTCTTCCTCACACTCCCTTTATTCCTTGAAAACCATATCGGTCCCTAAACGTGACACGGCCCGACTCCTGTCAGACGAAAGGCTCACGTTGGCACCACCCGCATGGTCGCTGGATTTGTCTCGTTTCACGTCTGTCTAGCAGTCATCAGGCCGACATTCCTCCGCACGAACTAATGAAAGAAAAAAAAATCATCGGTGGCGAAATTAAGGCGTACGAGTTTGCCAACTTTTAGCCTTCCCGTTTAAGCAGCGAGAAACGACAGTCATTTGCAAGGGACATGATTGATGTCGTTTCGTAATCGCCAGAATGATTGCGCGCGTATATTCAGTAATGGAGCTACGACTCTGCGAGCTGGCAGGTCATTCTAAACACACCCAGGCAAGTCAGGCACTCTCCCTCTCTCTCCTCTTCTTTTCAGGAAGTTTACGCGAGGTAATCGCAGCTCATTGATGTCTCAGAAAGAATAATAGCGTGGCATACGTGAGCAACAGTATAATATTCAAGCCGTTCAAGTTGCAATGTTTATCGACAAGGACTCTCCGTACAGACGCGTGAGACGGGCGTCCTGATCCGACACCTCAAGTTTCTAGATCTGATGTGATATTTTCACCCCGTCTTTACAGACTCAAATTAAACCTTAATATCTCGAGCGAAACGAAAAGATAACATGCACACGAACACACACATGCACGCACAATTGGAAAAGGAGGCGAGATCTTAGGTTGCCATCCACAAAAATGACTTCGTGGGGTCTCATGGTTCCAGTGACAAATTGTTGTTACTTTCACACTAAGTCAAAATTTCAATTATAAACTAAAGTAAACTATAACAACGTGGATGTTCTGGCACTCCTCAGACAACGACTGGGGATTCGTATGAACCACCTGGGGATCCCCTGAGATGCAACCGAAACCGCACTGACACGGAGTGGCGTGCCGATGGGCCGGGATTTATGCGAACACACGAACTGGAATACCTTACGGAAGGCAATTTGCCTCGGAGCCTACAACTTTCATTTCTATCCTCCTTATCATTTCTTTGGCACTTCGTAATCGGAGAACAACTGGTATCATCCTCCAGACACGATCAGAAATGAGTCAACGTTGTGGAAATTCTTCTTATTCATTAGCCACATCTGGATTTCTGTCATCACCGAGAAATGAAGCAACTCTCATTTACAGTGTCACTGATTCGACGGTAAACACACTCGAGAAATATATCGACTCGGAAGCGAATTAGGACATCTCTGTTCAGAACCTGGACTAATCTAGGTTTAGATATCGGAAAACACATTCCTTCAAGGGTAATTAATATTTGAAATGGTTTCAAAATCCTATTTTTGTCATGATCTTCGAACTCGAGCATCTTACTATTGAAGTACCGGAGAAACTACAAATCTATTTCCCAAACTGCCTGCATCTCTGCTAGCAAACCAATCTGAGTCAGGAGAATATTATTCCCCATGGTCTCGTAACTAGAAGTTGGATTCTAAAATGGTTAAAGTGGCTTTTTTTTTTTAATAAGTGCAAGTTAATTAAGTATGCAAAACTGCAAAATATAAATGCCTAGAAAAAGCTTAGACATTCCAATTTTTACAGGTGTGTCTCAGTCTAGTATTAAAAGCATAGTTATTGACTTAAACGTAAGTGAAATATCAAACTTTTGTGCTATTATTGAAATAGACCCACCATCCTGTAATTATGTTTCCAGAGCAAAGAACAAGCTCTGCCTTATAAAAATGAAGAGATAGAAAGAGAAAATAAATGACGCTCTGGGGTTTGGCATCCTTGAAAACAAGCACAAGCAGAAATGCGTCAGAGATCGTTAAGAACAAAAGTGCTGTTATGAAAACTTTCTAAATGCCAACTTTAAATTCTGTCCAATTAGAGAGGCTAGATACAATAGTTCGGAGCTCCGATTTCCAAGAAGAAAAATGAGGAAGGATACTTTCGGAAGCCCGGACATGCCGTTACAAATTAAATCAGATGTTCTTAAGCTCGGGAATAGTTACTGTTCCGTTCACAATATAATGAGACGTTGTGTCGCTTGTCCGTTCTTGATTTTTTTTTTTTTTTTTTTTTTTTTTTTGCTAGTTTTAGTTAAATTGGGAAAGTCGTGCTCCGGATTGCCTGGGTTTTCACCCTTCATTAAAATTGGTGAAGCTTGTGGTTCTTTAAGAAGAAAAACTAATGAAATAGTACATTTAACCTAGTTTTCTTTTTAGTTTTGTTTATGCCTCCTCAAACCGATAAAACCTCAAAGAAAAAAAAAAAGAAAAAAAGAAGAAAAACCGCAAGCCCTGTGATGAATTTATGAACGCCTTCGGGAACCATGGTTCTCTTCTTGTACAGTATAAATGCGATATGAATGCCGGTAGTAACCGACAATGTAATAAAAGTAACTAAACAGGATGTCGTCACTGGTTAGTCCCGGGCATCGAATGTTCGCTTAAAACGTACTAAGAGGAGGACCCTAAATTGTGAATCAACAAGCGTGATCAAGGAGGTAATTCGCAAATCCTGCCACCCTGCAGAAATTTGAGACGTATTAGCCGGGTACGCATGTATCCGTAAATCACGCGAGCATCGAGTAAATGACGCGATTAGTTCCGCCAACCACAGAGGAACGAAGTCAAACACCAATCTGATTACAGTGTTGTCTCTTTCTTGCCGCTCCATTTATCGAGACACTCCCAGCAGTTTTGCGGCCCGTGGCTTTTTGATCCTCCGTAGATAGCCAAAACGGTTCCCTCATTCCCGAAAAAAAAAAAAAAAATAATAGCAGAAGGCATCGTTGCACGGGGCGTGTGTTCTTTGCCCCATATGTGTTTGCCTCTTGTGCGCGACAACGGCAAAAAATTTAAAAAAAAAGCAAAATAAAACATATTTTTATGTACCAGGCTGGGTGGGGCTTTGTACAAGGAAGAAATCGTTCAAAGGGCCCCTCTACGATGCACTCAGCATTACATGTGAAGGCGCCGTATATGCGATTTTTCCCCCGGCGCAGAATACGAGCTTCTCAGACGATGATTTTTAATCACCCTGACAGCCGCGAAAACTACCAGACGTTTCAGCGAGACGTTTTACGTGAGTGATTCTTGGATTGTTTATCAACTCAGAAAAAGCCGGCAGAAGTGTTCTCGCATCAGTGCTAATATAGCAAATCGCATGTAACTTGGGAGCGCCAGCGCAATGATTGTGATCCAAAGCTAATAACTTGCTATAGAGATTGTGATTCGTGTCTCACGACTATGCACAAAGAACGTTTGACTCCCACAAGTTGCGTGACGCATTATTCATTACGGCCGTGACGATCTCTGCAGAAAATAAACCCAACCTGCAAAGCGGAACAGCAGCGATCTTTTTTTTCTTCTTTTTTTTTTTTTCCCCTATCCCGTGCAGCTGACACGCATGATTGAGTGACTGTTTGAGCGATTCGTTAAGGGAACGGAACAAGAGACGGAGGGGAAAACTCGCTTGTTGTTGGTCGCACGAAAGTATACTACAAGGTACCACGGGGCTACTCTGAATCTCGTGTTTCCAAAAGTAATTAAATTACATTACTAATTTCCCTCCCCAATCACACATATGAGTAATTAAATTAGATTACAGATTAGCACAGACTGAAAGAAATTACACAACATTACAGTTAGTTTTGAAAAGTAATGACTAGGAAATTAATTTTCAACTCTCTCAGGCAGTAATTCGTGCCCTTTTTTGTTTACAGTACTCCACAAGTTTCCTTCTTGCACGAAAACAACCACTTGCGCGTCGAAGTCAGCGTCCGAAGGGTTTTTCCCGTTTGATAGACTAAGGAAGTGACTCGAGAAGTGTCAAGCACGATGAACAGCTTCTTCTTTAGATATGACTCAAAAACAGTCAGTCATCTGACCGGTTTCGCTGTTCATATAACGGTGAAGTTCATCCGATTTCGCAGAACTCATTGTCCATTTCATTTAATCAAGCCATAGCAACTCTCTTTTTTTTTTTGTATGTGAGTGTGTGTGTGGTGAAAACGAACGTTTTAGTGACTTTACAAGAGAAAGAAAGAGTGACGTATGTTCGTTGCTTTCTAACAGGCTAACGATTAACTGTATTTAGTTACTTGTGAAGAAGCACGTCTACAACATAACTTAGTTCTCGCCCCAGCTCGCCCTTGTGATTTTTACCAAGAAAAAAAAAAAAAAAAAAAAGAAACCGCAAGATAAACGGTAAACATATGTGCACAAGGTACTACCTCACTATAGCCGCAGTTATCACTGAATGAATGGGTGAATCGGTTAAAAAGAAAGAAAATCTTAATAACGCCACATATTGGAAGGCGGCTACTGCTTCAGAAAAACGACGCATTCCGAGCAGTGAGAATGGAGCGCGTTACTTCCGACCTGAAGTAAGACGGTCTTTTTATATCACAGGAAAGAGTAACGTACTTAGTTACTCTTTTTTAAACGCGTAACGAGTAACGATATTTATTTATTTTATTTCAGTAACACGTATATGTCTACATTATACAGTCGTCACGACCGTGGTGAGATGTGCTACACAGATCCTTGCGTGGTCTTTAGCGAACGGAACCCATTACTCCCGAACCCGTTTCGCGCATCCATGGGTTTGAGGGAAGGTCCGAGTCATTTTCCTTTCGA